TACATCACACTGTACAAGTTGCAGCATACTGGAGTCGATGATGGTTTGCCTCACCTCTGTAGCCACTTCTATAACCCTTGAAACTGCATTATTTTTGAAGAAATCATCAAGTGTTCCCCTGCCCCTCCTCTCACCCAGGTACATCACTTCTGTCGCCTTGACAACCCGCCTGAGCCCACCCCACTGGTGACACCGCCGCAGTCTTCTGATGATGAAGAGGTGATGTTGATGATAACGATGTGTGGCTCCTCTCGTAGTTTTAAAGCTGGGTTATTCATGTTGAGGATGTGTGTGTTGTGTTAATTTACAGGATGTGTGTACGTATCTATCGCCGGCTGCCAGCCCGCCACGAACACTCGGCGCAATTGGGATTGGCTCATCGTCGCCTAGGGACCAGCCCCTACACCCCTCGTTCCCATCTCCCAGGAAACAACCCCACCATCCCTCCTTCTCTGCCCCTGAGGGTCCTGCAACCCTTTCCTGCCATCTGCCTCCCTACATGAACAATGAGCATGCTCAGTCATGGCCCTCCATTAATGTGAGTAGAAAACAATGATGAGAATTACATAAAGCAACTAATTGATTAATTCCCTGCAGTCCTTGTGGGGATGAACCATGACTGGTTTTCTGTGATGTTGATTCCCAGGAATCTAAACCTGCTCCACCTCGGCTCCACTGATGTAGAGGGGTGTGTGTCTTTGCCTTGTTTTTCCTAAAATCAACAATCAGCTCCTTGGTTTTACTGACTTTTAGCAGTAGGTTGTTCTCTGTGCACCACAAGATTGTTGCTTTCCTCCTGACATGAAGTCTCATCATTGTTTGAAATCTGGCCAATGATGTTGGTGTCATCTGCAAACTTCACAACAGAGTTGTCTCCATGTCAGGGGAGGCAGTCATGGGTGTACAGCCTGAACAGGAAGGGGCTGAGCACACAGCCCTGAGGTGCTCCGGTGTTGAGCACTCGGGTGGAGGACTTGTGACCACCAATCCGAACTGTTTATTTGTGTTGCTTTTAAATGTCTGCTTTCATTTTTTTATTAGCTGTCAGCTATATTATTTTATTGTTGCTGTGGGATGAGACAAATGTTGACAGGACGATTGAGTTTTGTTGCTTTTGAATAGAGTTTGATGTTGTTTTAGTTTTTCTGCAAATATCTAACTAATGAAAAGTGCGTCATGTAAGACAGTTTAGTCAACTATTACAGGACATGCCTTGCATTTTGTAATCTTCATATGCTTGAGTTGAGGACGACCCAAATGCAGACAAGACTAAACTGAAACTGTAAAACACCTTACACATTACACAAAGTCATGAATAATATTATTTTTGATTATTGCTTTAGACACATCCTCTAAGTTTTGGTTAAAATTACGAATAAATTCTGTGATTTTGCTGCAATTTGAGGTTCAGTAATTTGACACCTGTGTCTTCTTCTGCTTATAGTTATGGATGGAGTCAGAAGAGAGTGCTGTTCGTAGCTGTCCTCTGTGTCAGCTGACCTTCCCAACTGGTTACCCTGATGATGCCCTGATCAAACACATCGATTCCCACTTGGAGAACAGCAAGATCTGACTTTTTTTTCCCTTTTCTTTTTTAATTAAGCATTTTATTCCCATTTTCACCCGAGATGGACACCAGGCCCACTTTGATATATATATATTTTTTTTTATCCAGGAATGGTCTGATGAGCTTGCATGCTTCTTTCTATGGAGCTTGCCCAGTACAGCTGCAGTCTTCTGGTACAGGGGTTACATGCCCTGCTCTAGGGGCACTTACCGCCACCTTTCCATCCTGATTGTGGAATCTAACCAGTGACCTTCCTGTTATAGACCAAGTTTGTTTTTCTACCCTCCAGGCTCAAGAGTCATTCTCTTCCTTTTTCTTCACTGAGGACATCCGTACATTGCCTAACATCTCTCACAAAGCTCCATATCGGTATCACATTCTGTATCACAACCAAACTCTTCATTTGTACATAGACCTGAGTGCTAAGAAAATAGCAGAGGTAGAAAAGACAACATCTCTCGGATACACTGACATCTGACATACACTGCTGAAGCTCCATTGGTATCGTCACATATGCTGGTCTGGGAGCATCCTTGGAGGGAGAGGACTTTCTGGAAACATCCGACACATGCAATGTCAGTGGCGCCTGTTGTCTTCATGTCCCAACACGGATGTCACAGCTCTCATGTTGCTTTGTGGGTGATCAAAATTACAATTTGCTACAAACTATTTTGAGGTAAAATGATTCAGAGGTTAAGAATTGTCGGCAGAAGTGATTTAATTAGAATCATCCTCTTGTTTGGATGTGATGGTAAAATGAACACGATGTAGTCTAATAGCCAGTTTCCAAACATATGACACAGGCTATATAGAACAGTTCATGGTTAAATGATATAATGGATACAGCAAACAAAAGATAACAGTGAAAGGGGCAATCCACAGGCTAGTGGACCTCCAAAACAATCTATATGTAAACTCAAGAGTGTGAAATGCTCCCATGATAAAAATGTAATTAAATGAAAAAAATCGAACAAGCACCTACTGCCAACTCCTGCTGTGGTAATGAAAGTGCCTTGGTTCAACCACAACCTTTATTTTGTGATGACCAATGGAAGCCCATTTCTGCCACTGATAAAAAAAACTCACGTTAAATCAAGTTATTTTTTACATTATTAAATGTTTTTTCTTCATAATTGTTACATATTATCTTAATAACTATGACTTACTATTTTATAATTATGGGGACATTGCGCATAATGAGATATTTCATAATAACTAAATATTATAGTTTTTTCCCCTCATAATTATCTCATAACCATGAGATTTCTAATTTATAACGTGTCGTTATTATGACGTAATAATGATTTTGTATCTCATAATTATGTGAAAGTTTCACTAATTATGAGATAGTATTTCATAATAAATTATTATTCCACATTTCTATTCATTTTGTTTTCTCCCCAATAATAGTATCACATAATGGTGTGTCTCAAAATTCTTATTATTTTAATGAAATTGCTATGACTGATTCCATAATCTAAAAAACTATCACATGAATACGGAAGCCGAGAACGGCCATGGATTTTTTTTTAATGCAGTCAAGTAAACAAACCAACGTAAAGTGTAATTTACCGTTAGCCTACAGCTA